TAGAAATAAAGTTCATAGAAAAAATATTACATCTACTTTAATATCGTGTAAATGTTACTAAACTAAAAAATATCGCCATACGTCGCTAATTTTCGGAGTTTTAACGATGGCTTGTAACGCGTCGTTGAACTTGGACAGCTGGATGTAACAAACAATCTTGTAGTGAAACGCCGCTTCCTCATCTTGGGAAATGCCTAAAACTGAACGTCAGAGTGTGAATTATTTCATAGCTTCGAACGACATGTTTTTGGAGAATCTTTACCGAACGCAAATTATTTCACGCAAATATAATTTCACGATATATAATTTTAAAATGAAAATATGTGTGAAAACATCAACATCAACGAGTAAAACTACTTGCACCTTGCGATTGTCAGTTTGGTGTTCGATAAATAACTCATAAGCTTACTTCTGTTCGCGGTTTTCAAGGCCCTTTCGTATTCCCCGTTCTGCCCTAATTTGTTTAATTCCGTATACAGCATGAGAAGGTTATTTTCTTTCGAAGCCATGTCTCTCTCTGTCAGAGATCCTCCTCCATATATACGTGTGTCAACGTGGAGCCACGAACACGAGAGCAGAGAGAAGATTGAGAGGCTGAGAGATGTCATGTCATGGCTCCTGAAAGTGCGCCCTCTATGAACATTAAAAAACGTGGACGTGAACTACGAAGCTAAAGTCCACAAATGTTTTCAGAGGGTAACATAATGGAATTTTTGGTTTTGTTCCGTGCTATGCAATCGACCCAGCAAACACCAAGTACAATAATATTGATGAATATAACTGTTAGTTGTAATCTCCCACTCAACAATATAACTGTTACATGTTATGTAACTGTTACATATATTATATTGTTGAGTTGAGTTGAGTTGTTGGGAAATTATAACTAACAATTATGTAACTGTTATTTGGCATCAATATTTTATTCTTCTGAAAATAAAAACTATTCAATTTAAAGTTTTATTAAATTTATAATTTTATTAATATAATTTTATTAATAATAAAGGTAAGTAAATTACACTATTACAATTGACTAGCAACAAATTTATTTATTATTTAAATGTGTATTTTAAAAAATGACACACATACAGAGAGAATTGTAATTAAGATATTTATATATGTGTGAAATATATTTAATAAATGAAACATTTAATCTTTCTTATACATAGTAAAATATTTATCAAATATTTATTAAATAATTTTTTAATATTTATAAAATATTTTGTCGAAATTAAATAAATATTTACTTTATTTTATATATTAACATAATAATTATATTTTAATTAAAATAAGAGAATAATTAAATAATATATTATTATTATGAAATATTTTAACACATTAATATGTATCTCATATATCTAACATATTAATGTAACGTAAGATTAAAAAATTAAAGTAATGATATGTTGTGATATACAATATAACTATTGTTTAATTAATAAGGATTAGGCCGATTAAGAAAATTTAAGATTAAGGCATTGATTATGGCGCAAAAAATTTATTTAATTCTAATAAGTATCATTAGAGAAATTATTATAATAAGCATGAATAATCGACAGATTATAACAAAATTAATTTTTTTATCTCCCTTTAGGTATTTATTATGTGTATATAAATATATATATATATATATATATATATATATATATATATACACATATCGCATAATAAATGAATCACGTAGCGCACTTTGTATCTAGTCATAGACATAGTAAGTATAGACCGAGCATCCATTGTATAAGCGTTAAGCATACGAAAAGAAAGACAAAAGATGTAAGATGAATTTCTTTCTCTTTTCAATGCCGGAGAAGTGAGGAGCACTTCTCCACATCTCCTCGCGCCGGTTCGTCATGGAGGGGCAAGGAGATGAGAAGAAGTGCTCCCCACTTCTATGTATCTAGTATACATATATAAATTTAAGCTTCAGATTATTATGAGCAGTTTGTATGCAGATTTGTTGTGCTGGATTATTGTATCTGCTTAACGCGAAGTTTACAATTTCATTTTAATCATTTAAGTTGTGTTTCGTTCGATGGCCGCATATAGAATCTATCAGGTAATCTTTATATTTGTATAAAATAAAATTTTGTAACATTTTATTGCAAAATCTCAATGTTTAATACAGTAATTACTATAAGCATGTAGTTTTTAACAGAAATTTTTTCAAGAACTAGTGATTAATTTTGTTTGTTATAATTTTATTAAATTATTATTATATATTATAACATTTCATATTTTTATCTTATTAAATGTATAATATATTATTATACTTTGCAGAGATTTTTGATACAATAATAGATACAAAAAATCGATATGCGACTATTAGATAAATCAGAAAAATGAACATATAAACGCGATTTAAGCAATAGCTATAGTTATATAATTTATATATTATATGAAACATATTATATAATAGAATAACAATTTTGATAAAAAAGCAGGAAAAGATTTTTAAAGTAATTTGTTTTTTGTTTATGATAGTTTTTGTTTATGAAAGTTTGCAAATATTTAATTAAATAGTTTCAATTTATTACAAAATAACTCTGTATTATTGCAAGTGATAATAAAAATTATAATTAAATATGATTCAATTATGTATTCAAAGAAAAAACGCGATAAAAATGATACGTAATATGTATAAAAATTTTTCTTCAAAATTTATATTATAAGGAAGCAATATCGTTGCCTATGCGGTTATTCAATATAATAATACGAAAACAATATACATACCTTAATAGAAAATATACATTTTAATATTTTACAGTAACTTTTTGTTTTTTGATATAAATGGATATAATTCTGATAGCCTAGTCTCTTCTGGAATTGTTTATCGTAGGCAACATCATATATATCGTATATGAAATATATAAAAAATTGTGTGATATAAAAGACGTGATATATAAAAAAATTATGCCGATTGGAAATAAATAATTTACATACGTTGTATAATTTTATTTGTTTGCAGCATATTTTTAGTACATTTTAATGTATTTAAAATGTTATATCTATAAAATAAATTATTATAAAAATATTATTATAATAAATAAATAATATGAATGTGTTTTACGTTAAATATATTCTACTATTAATTAATCCTTTTATATCTGTTTCTCGTATTTTATCAGCTTAGAGTTTTATTTTATTATATAACTTTTTAACATTTTAAAAACGTGTTGAATAAAAAAAGTACAATTTTATAGTGCTCATATCTTTGTTTAAAATGTTTAAATTGTTCTTTTTAATAAACAGAATTTCTAAAAAGATAACATTATTTTTATTGGTTAAAAGTAAACTTAAGCAAATTTACTTCAATAACATTCTCTTGCACAACAATTTTTTTGAAGAATTTTTCATGAACTTGATATCTTATTTTATTATCATAATGTTTTCAAAGCATTAGCATAAGCTTTTAATCATTCTAATCACACAAGTTAATCGATTCATTATTGATATGTAAATGTAAAACTTGTATTTAGCGAACTAAGATCTTGATACTCTTTGATATTTTACTTTATTGATATGTAAATGTAAAACTTGTATTTAATAAACTAAGATCTTGGTACTCTTTGATATTCTATTATTGATTTATTGCAAATGTAAGATAAATGTTATTAAATAAAGCTTAAGAATATCAACAGCGTCATTTATTGACTTTGTTAGAGATAATTTAAAACGATAAATTACTAAATAATCGCCTAATGCGAATCTTTCGTTCTCTATTTCTTTTTTATTTATTGATCTATTGATGAAGTGTTAAAAAATTTGATGTGAAAATTGTAAAAAAAAATTTTTTTTCTTATATATTGTTAATATGAAGATGTTGATTTTTTGATATTATCTCTATTTTAAAGAAGATTCATTTTAAACTCAACCAATTGCGCTGTTTTAAATCAATGCTCTTGATCTCACGTCTGGCTTTTAAAAAATATTTCATAATTATTTTTACATTCTCAGATAAATGTAAATGAAAATATGTTATTTAGTATTTAATTAAAGTGATCTTTAATTAAAATATTCAACTGTGTGCTTCTTAAGATATGAAACACTGATTAATACGTTCTTGAGTTGAAAAATAGCTTTTTAAGTCGTTAGTTTTGTAAACTTATAAATGCTTTTAAGAAATCGCGATTTATATAATTTATATATCATAGGAAACATATTATAACAGGAAAAAATTAAAATGAAAAAAAAAACAGAAAAAGTTTTTAAAATAATTAGAAATAACTTTTCAAAATTTGTTTATGAGTTGCAAATACTTGATTAAATATCTTCGGTTTATTACAAAGTGACTTTGTATCATTGCATACCAATAAAAATATTTTTATTGATTCGGAGATATTTATAAATATCTACAAGATATTTATAAATAAGAATCTTGTAGATATTTATAAATATATATATATATATATATATATATATACATATATATATATTATATATATATATATCTTGTAGATATTAATTTTAATTTTGTAGATATTAAAATTATAAATAAGAATCTTGTAGATATTTATAAATATCTACAAAATATTTATAAATAAGCACAGAAATGAGCTGTAATCGGATTGTGACATGATCTTAACTACATTTTTTATAGTTATAGAATAAATAAAATTATAAAAATACTAGAAACAATTTATGTTAAAGATTTGACATATAATAGATCTATAATGTTAACATTTGCTTATTATATTATAATACTATTAAATGCAGTTAATATGACGCAATAGAATCTTACAAAATTTTATATATATAATAGAGAAACAATTCCAAGAAATTGGCTGATTAAAAAATTTTTTATTTTATTGACGAATTTAGTACATATGTAATATTTTTTCCTAGAATGAATAAATTTATCTTATTTTTTATAGCTCGATTAAATTATTAACTACAAAAAATATGCGATTAATATATTACAATGATCTTTTATTCTTTCTCTTTTACTTTTTTTAGGATTAATATTCTTTAGAATATTAAAATAGATGCCAAGTTTGTCGAAAATTAAATATCTACTTTTATATGTATCAAAAAATATTTGTGTAATATATATGATCCAAGAATAAAGAAACAATAAACGGAAGAAGGTTCAAATTACTTAGACGGTCAAGAATATCATATTGAGAAACGATGTTTACTATATTGATATTATGTATGTTTATTTTATTGATGTATTATTTGTATAATAAATATTATATAAATTATGAAAGAAATTGGCGTCTCATTAAACTTATACCGGGACCACCGGGTTTACCGATTGTTGGCAATGTGTTCCAATTCCATGTTTCAGCAGGTAAGTACAAAATTTTTAATCTATTTATATTAACTAACAAATGATCTATTTATATAAGTTATTTATACAAGCTAAATTTGTACAAGTTAAATTCATAAATCAGTTTCACTTTAAAACATACTTATCAAGATTACATATAGATTCCTTATCTGAACACTTCACAATAATCATTTGTTTAATTATAATTGTTTAAATACCATTTTTTTTATTATTATTTATCTTTTTTCAATGTATTTAAATAAAGATGCATTAATATTGAAAATAAAATTAATCACATAAAAATTTTTGTGTATTAATATTTATAATATACTTTTCAGAAGAATTATGGAAGCTCTTTTATACATTACATAATGAATATTATCCCATCTTTAAAGTTTGGAGTTTTTCCATTTTTGTGGTGTCTATCCGTCATCCAGATGATTTAGAGGTAATAAAAGAAATTTAATTCTCTATAGGTATTATTAGATTTAGAAAATCTTGCGATTCATAAGAAGATTTTTGCACAGAAAAAATGTTTCTTAAAGAGATAATAAGAAAAAATATCCCTAATTGATGAGATTAGATAGAAATTTATTAAGATGTCATTAACAAATTATTTACAAATTATTTAAAATTGAATGTGATATAATGAATCACTTTTCTCTTAATATGTTTTCGATGATTTTAGACGATATTAAGCAACACCAATATAAAGCGCATTGAAAAAACTGTTACATATGACATATTACATCCTTGGTTCGGCACAGGTCTTCTCACCAGCACAGGTAACATATTGATGTTACATAAATGTGCATACTTTTCTGCTATTTGTCTTCGACCTATCTCTATCACTAAAAAATCAAACAAAATGAGATTACAATTAAAATTGAATATTATTTTAAACGATAAATTTATTCCTTTTTTTCTCCATTATAAAACATAAATTCCAAAAAATGCAATTTTTAATCATATTGGGATAATTTCGTCATAATCCATGTATTTTCATATTTTAGTCAAAAAATATATAGATATTTAAGTCAAATCAAATACCATTACATAATGGAATTATTAATTAATTTTAGTTTATTCTTATCTACTAATTTATAAAGATTTAACTATAAAATAATTATTAAATCTACGTTAATACTTGCAATTACCGTAAAAATTAGATTAGAAGAAGGTTTAACAAATTATAAAATCATTTTGTGCGATAAGAAAAATAAATAGGATAATAATATTATTTAAATATTGATGAATAAACATTAAACTATAAAGATAATAATCTTACATACCCAGATAGCCAAATGCAATGAGGTTGCTGTCATGTTGCCAATCATTATTGAAGCAACTAATTTTAACAAACTAGAGACAAGGTGAGACAGCATTATGTCTGTTACGTGGAACTTACATGAATTCATGTGCTAATAACAACAAATTAATTGCAACGTGTCAACATATTGCTGACATGTTGTAGACAACGTAATATACCAATATTGCAGACCATTTGCTTCGTTAATTATTTGCATATAGAAGCAGACATATAACTGCATTCGTAACGTATTCTATCTCGATGTCAGCAAGTTTACTGCAAATATATAATAATACATGCGATGCATTTGTTTGCTGAATATGTCATATCAAGCTTGGCTATCTGGGATATTATTTGTATTTTATCGCAATCTTGTTTTCTTATAGGAGTTAAATGGCAAACGCGGCGAAAGATATTAACATCTACGTTCCATTTTTACATATTGAATCAATTTGTTGACATCTTGATCAAGGAAGGCGATTGCATGACAAAATCTTTGATGGATATTGAAGGGACAGTAGTAAAGGATTTATTGCCATTTATTAGTGAATATACGCTAAACGCGATATGCGGTAAGGCTTCTGTAAAATTCTCATTTTATGTTATGTATAGGAATTTCATTTTAAATGATCATTTTTTAAGGTAAGAAAATAATTTCTTTCTATATAATGTATCTCCTCAATGGAGATAAATAATATTTGGTTTTTTACACTAAAAATTGCTCATCAAATAGTCAGCTATTATAATCTTTGACTGTTATTTATATCTTATATAATAAATGTATTTGTAGAAACTGCGATGGGTGTCTCTTTACAAAAACTCGGTGAATTTCAGCAACAATATCGAAATGCGATTCACGATATGATCGAATTGATAATTTATAGGTAATTTATATGGATACAGTAAATACATAATTGTGTAGTATGTCTATGATCGGTCAAGATATGATTTTAATATTATATATATATATATATATATATATATATATATATATATATATATACCGGGTGTTTCAGACCACCCGTACACCCCATTTTAAAGCAAAGGAAGTGGTTATTTTGAAAAATGTTTCAGACAAAAGTTGTTGAAGATAAAGTAATGCATTACATGGGTAAATTTGATTGACCTTGGGTGGCGTCGTGAAGGTCATGTCAAGGTCGACTTGAATTTTTTAAATGGGAACCCCTATTTTTCATTGCATATTCTTGTAGCTTATCTCGAGAGCTTTCCAAAACACTATAATTAAGTACCTTTTTATTAAGTACTTTTTGAGTTATAAGGCTTGAAATAATTTCTTAATTTTACATAAACCATAAAATATCTAGTAAACCATTCATTTTTCGATTATCTTACCTTCATACTTTTATGTACAAAATAATGAGAGGAATCAATTGGTGTAAAGAAAACATACAGTTGTTTTTAAGAAAAAATATGGAATTGTTAATTGCAAATTACATATTTTTTCTTAGAAACAACTATGTGTTTTCTTTACACCAATTGATTCCTCTCATTATTTTGTACATAAAAGTATGAAGGTAAGATAATCGAAAAATGAATGGTTTACTAGATATTTTATGGTTTATGTAAAATTAAGAAATTATTTCAAGCCTTATAACTCAAAAAGTACTTAATAAAAAGGTACTTAATTATAGTGTTTTGGAAAGCTCTCGAGATAAGCTACAAGAATATGCAATGAAAAATAGGGGTTCCCATTTAAAAAATTCAAGTCGACCTTGACATGACCTTCACGACGCCACCCAAGGTCAATCAAATTTACCCATGTAATGCATTACTTTATCTTCAACAACTTTTGTCTGAAACATTTTTCAAAATAACCACTTCCTTTGCTTTAAAATGGGGTGTACGGGTGGTCTGAAACACCCGGTATATATCTTAATATCGTTAGTAAAATAATCAAAGGATTATTGGAAAATAATATAATCGCCCAAACTAGCCAAATTTTTTGTTTATTTATTTAAAAAAATTTTTTTACGACGTTTCGACCATACGGTCCTTTTCAAGTAGACAGTGGAATATGGTTGTGGTCCTTTTCAAGTAGACAGTGGAATAATGAAATTGATAATTAGATTTTTAACGGTTTGAATAGACAGCACCACATAGATTAATTGTGAACAATTTGAGTACATACAGTTCAAATAATAGAGTATAATAATGTAAATCTTATGTAAATCTTAATTTTGTGCTCCATATATCACAATTGCAAGATTATTACGTCTTGACATTTGAAAAAGAGATGAAACGTCTTATGTCAGTGTGAGACTTTGTCAAAAAACTGAATAAGTCAAAAAATAACAAACGACCTTTATTATTTTGTCGTAGATGTTATTTAAGCTATCCGTATCCTTCTGTAGGTTGATTGAATTATTGAATTTTTTAATATAAAACATTTCAGTAATTTCTCTCTTTTGCACGTGTTTCTCATTGTGTAATATATTACGTTTCGTCCAGTCAAATTCGTGTGCAGATTCTAATTTATGTTTACTTATAACGGAATGGTTCGTTTCATGCAATTTTATATTTACTAAAATGCTTTTTCATTCGAGTAGATGTCTATCTAGAAAATAATGAGAGGAATCAATTGATGTAAAGAAAACACATAATTATTTTAAAGAAAAAATATATGTCCTTGTCTATATCAAAATTATCTTAAAAGATCTTAATAACATCTTAAAAGATTTCTCATAGATATAGTACACATTAATTATAAAAAAATAAATGATTAATAAAGGATATCAATTCGTTTAAATGGACGAACTATAATGAAAATGTACTGTTTATGTTTCGTTAAACTAAAAATTATTTTGAAATGTTAAAAAGATAGGAAATGTTATAAATGTTGTAAAATTAAGAAAAAATTGAATTGTATAGTAAGAATTAAAGAAGAATTTATTTTTAATCAAAAAATCTATAACTAAAATAAAAGTACAATGTTTTTAGAAGTTTCTATCTTTTTCGTTATCAACATTATTATCTTGGCATCACAGTTCTCGGTGGGTTTTAGCCTTCTCAAGAACATTCTCCCAGTCATCTCTGTCCAGCGCCCTACGCTTCCATCCTCTCACGCCAATCCCACGCAAATTACTCTCCACTCCATCCAAAAATCTCGCTCGTAGTCTCCCTCGTTCGCAATATCCATATATTCTCTCTAACAAGGCTCTTCTGGCCGGGTCTTGGTCTGACATCCTCATCACATCTTTTTCGTAACAAATATAATTTAAAATTTTTAATCTTTTATGCATAATTATTTAAAGATTACTTTAATATTTCAGGATGGTTTTTAAATAACATTTTAAAAATAAAACTTTTATAAAATTACATTATTATTATAATTATATAGCTATATAATATATAGCTATATAATTATATAGATATATAATTATATAGATATATAATTATATAGCTATATAGTTATATTATAATTATATAGCTTTATTGAATTTAACTATTTAGAATATTCAGGCCTTGGTTGCACAACGATATGATATTCTTATTGTCATCACAAGGAAGAAAGCAAAAAAAAATCCTAAAAATATTACATGGATTTACGGAAAAAGTGGGTAATATAAAGAATCTTAAATTAAATCCTTCAAATATTTACATTTAAAATTACACTACTATTAGTATAAAAAAATCACTGTAAAATTTTGTACGTTAATCCATGTACGTAGATTATTGCGGAAAGAAAATTTTATCACGAACGTACCAATGGTCAATACTTAAAAAACCTTGAAAGTGATAAAGAAGGGGCGACAAATGATGTCGATCGTTTGGAGGTACGTACGATCGGAGTTCCTAATTTTTTGATTGCGCAATCTAATATTATAAATTATATTTATAGTATTTATACTAAATTATATTTATAGTATTTATACTAAATATAATCACATGTAAAGGTGCAACATACATTTGCTGTAAAATTAAATCATATTTGTAATAGAATTTGAATTTTAATAAAAAAATGTTTAAAAATTAAAGCGTGACGCGCAAAAATAAGTCGTTCTTAATATGCTTTTTTTCTAGTTAAAAAAAAGCGGTTAGCTATGTTGGACCTTTTAATAGCGGCATCTCAAGAATATTCTTTAACTGATTTGGACATCAGAGAGGAAGTTGATACCTTTATGTTCGAAGTACGTATCTGTAATCTTTTTTTATTAATCTTTTTTATACACATTAAATATATGATAATATGATGGTGATTACAGGGTCATGATACCACAGCGACCGGTATAATGTTTACTTTATTACTATTAGCTGAACATAAGAATATTCAGGTATCTATTTCTGAATATATTGCGATACATTATTTAAATTACAATTTTTAAATGTCAAGTTCTTTTTTGTTACAATACATTTTTTCAATATTAGTAAATATGTATATGATTTAATTTTTTTATTTTGATTTTTAATAATTTATTTATATGTATGTAAATAGAAAGTACAATATTAAGAAATACATTTTAATTATTATAATGACATAGGAACGTGTGAGGCTTGAAATCGATAACGTTATGCAAGATAATGGAGGGAAACTTAACATGAGATCACTGCAAAATTTATCATATTTGGATAGATGTTTAAAGGAAGCATTACGTTTGTATCCCAGCGTGCATTTAATAGAACGGAAGCTTACGGATGATGTAAAATTACGTAATTAATCACTTTTTTTACTACATATATCTTTAAATGTGTTGCATAATACTAAGTATATGTTATCAAATATACAATAAAATTAATGCATTAATATTTTAAGAATATCATTATGTATATTTTATTTTTGTCAAAATAACTTGTTTTTTGTAAATTTTAATACTTTATAATTTTATAATATGTTGTTCACAGAATCATACGTTGTACCCGCTGGAACGATCATACGTCTTAACATTTACGCAGTTCACAGAGATCCCAATTTTTGGCCAAATCCAGAAGTATTTGATCCGGATAGATTTTTGCCTGAGAAAATAGAGAATCGTCATCCTTACTCCTATCTATCTTTCAGTGCAGGGCCAAGGAATTGCATAGGTAAATTGGCTGCAATTTTTATTTCTCCTCATGTCGATCATTTTTAATAAATTTCGCATTGTAGGTCAACGATTCGGTCTCTTGGAGATGAAAGCTATGATAGCTCCTTTGGTGCATAATTTTTATTTGGAACCCATTGAATATTTGAAAGATATCCGAGTAAAATTGGATATGGTTATTCGTCCTTCTCATCCGATTCATGTGAAATTCATTCCAATCACATGCAAACAGAAATCGTTTAAAACTAATGCAGATGTTACACGAGTGTAACAAGTTAATGCATTATAAACATCGAAAAAAATCGTTCAGTATATTACACGTTCATTATATGATTAAAATATTATATTATATATATAGATATTATATTTAATCGTCAAAAAATATTCACGCAGAATGTCCTATAATTCAGATCCCTATAATTTCATCCAAAAATATACAATAATTTAGTTTATTCATGTTTGCTATTAATGTAATTATTTTTATGTTTTTTAAATGAATAATACGAAGGAAAGAAAGGAGTGTTGTTTCTTCTCTGCGCTTGAACAATCGCGCTGCGCTCTTATTTGCCAATTTTATTTTTATTAATTTTTATTATTTACTTTAAGAAAATATATATAAATTTTATGATGAAGAACCTCTTATAATACAATAAATAATACAATATAAAATATACATATTTTTGTACAATTTATATTAATTAATTATATATAATTATATATAATTAATTATATATATATATATATATATATTATATATATAAAATTATTACGAAAACTATATTAATTTCTATTTATAAATCTATGAATAAGATCACTAAGAATCAATATTTCATTGATTTCCTGTAAAAACGCTTATTTTTTGTTACTTTATGATCTTTAATCAGTAATATTAGATTATATCTATCTTGCATAAAATTAAAAATTTTATTTATATTTACATGCATATTGAACATGCATCTTAAATAGATTATAATCACTTTTGCTGTAGATATATTTAAGCTATATATACATAAAAAAAAATAACAAATAAAATATAAAATATAAATGGCGTAGAACGCGCTTATAATGACGTTTATTAAGCTGGCACAGTCACTTCTGTACAATCGAATAAAATTTATATATAAATTTAGTGCTCTTTTGTTGCTTTATTCCCGACTTTGTTGCTCCAATCGATTCAGAGAAAATAGTGGCTATGCTAACTTTAGATTAGATTTATAGAAATTTAAAAAAACAAAACAAACCGATATATTTCTTTAGTTCTAATTTGTTGGTAATTGTTGCTTCTATTCCTGATTTTTTTTGCTTCACTTTCAAACTCCGAAAACCACTCACAAAGTTATCTCCCATTAAAAAATTATTATAAAATTATGAGAATTAATCAGATATCTGGATCGATAATGTTTCAATAATTTTGTTGCTCGTCATTTTTAACGAATCTGATTTTATTGCTTCACGTGCCTTAAAAAAATCGACATGATTCGATCGAGTGGTTTGTGACAGCTTAATAGATTCTTTTATCAAATTCTATTTTTCTACTTTTGTATTTATTTGCCTGCTTCTGCAGTTGAACTCATTAATCTCTATTTTTTTATTTGCTCTTGTATTTTTACTTATCTTTTCTATTTCTTTGTTTGCTGTTATATAGTTGCGACTGAAACGGAAAAAAATATTCAAATAAGTTGAAATTTTACAAAATTCTTTTCGCAACGGATTTATTCTTTAGTTTTTCGTTTGGACATGAACAGAAATAAGGATATTAAGAAAAAGTTTAGGGATCCAAGTTTCATATTCAAAAAAATTTAATTTTGCAAAATTCTTTTCATACCAGGCTTTGTAAAATTAAGTACATACTACTTTTAATTCTTTTATTATTTTTATGATATCTGTATCTCATATTTTAACAGTTTTGGATCTTGTCCTTATTATATAACATTTGTAATATTTCAAAAACATGTTAATAAAAAATACAACTTTAGTATATATAGTATATATAGTTTTCTCTCTCTGCTTATTCTTAATAAATTCAAAAAGAGCATATTCAAAAGGAGATAACATTTGTAAACAAAAAAGGATACTTAAGCCAAATTCAACAACATTTTTTTGTACAATAATTTTTTGAACAATTTTTTCATGAACTTGATATCTTGTTTTATTATCATGTTTGTTTTTAATATCAACATAATAATGCAACTTAATTAACTAATTAAATTAATATATAAATGCGAAGCTAGCGAAATATTTAGCAAACTAAGATCTTTGTATGATCTTTGATACTCTATTATCGTTTCATTGCAAATATAAGATTAATATTATCGATACTAATGCACTTACTCTGGCTGAAATGGCATAAGACAATGGACAAAATTTATTGATTAGACAGAGTTACATCGAGATTTATTGTTCTTCGGAATTATATTGCATCGAATATGAATTCTAATAAATAAAAGTTCAGAGAGAGAGAGAGAGAGAGAGATGAGCTTACAAAAAACTCAAAAATCTTACAAAAAAGCAAGTATTCTTCTGCGATTTTGATGAGCTTTGTTACCTAGATTGAATTAAGGAAGGTGTATTTTTTTTTATATGTTCTCTTAGATTAAATTTATTCTCTTACAGTGAAATATCCCATTAAAGATAATTGACTTTTACAATATCAAATCGCAGAAATCGTAAGCACCGACGAGATATTATTAAGACCAATGGCTTTATGAGATTTAGCACGACCAGAAAAAAACATGCTAAATGCTACCGTAGATAACAAAATGTTTTACATTGTCGATAATAAAATAGTGATTTAATACAATAAATTGTTTATTTTGTTATTCTTGAGACATAAAAGATGGTACATAAAAAAGGTACATAAAAGATACATTTATACATTTTCTGATAATAAAAACAATACTGAATGATCTGATATACTCGATTTTAAATAATCCTTGTAATTGTCTTCAATATTATTAAACTAGTAGTATCATCAATCTTCTACTACATCTGACAATGAGTTCACTTGATGGTCACAAAAAATTTACCCAAGGCTATCGGTCTTTAATATTATCTCGTTGGTGTCATATTATATTATAATATAATATATATCATCATATTTGTATTCTGTTTTTTATGAGTAATAATTTCTCTCGAAATATAATACGTGTCTAGAAAATGATAATAAGCAATTATAAAAAATAGAAATAAAATTCAAGAATAGTAACTAGCATCATTTGTTGACGTTATTTTAAAGGTAATTTGAAGTGATAAATTACTAAATAATCGCCTAATGCGAGTCTCTCTCTTCTCCTATTTCTTTCTTATTTATTGATTTGTCGAATTTGATGAAGTGTTTAGAAGATTCAATGTAAAAATTGGTAAAAGAAATAAAAATCTTGTCCTTATATATTGTCTTACATATATTTCCTTATATATTGTTGATATCAAGATGTTGATATCTCGATTTTAAAAAAGATTTTAGACGAAAACAATCGCTATTTTAAATTAATTTTAAATTAATGTTTTTAATCTGACGTCTGACTTTTAAATAATTTCATCATCATCGTCATCATTATCAATCATTTTTCACATTTAGATAGATGTAAATGAGAATATATCATTTAGTCTTTAATTAAGGTGGGATTATTGAACTATCTGCTTCTTATGTATGCTTTTAACGTTCTTTATCTGTTTCTAGGATATGGAACTTCGCTTTTTAAAAAAGGTTTAAATCGATTCTCGCGAATATTGTTGCCGCTTTTTTCGCGATGCTAATTGATTGTCCCGATTTGCATTGTATATTATATTCGGAACATAGACCAACTGTCATCGTGGATCGCAAAGATTAATAATTTGATAGTTGTTGAGAGAAGTGAAAAATTGTAGTGGCGCGCGTTAGCGTACTTTGTAGTGTCTAGTATATATAAATGTAAGCTTCAGATATTTTATTATCAGTTTCATGCAGATTTGTTGTACTAGATTATGCATTTGTTTAATTGCGCAAATTGTAATTTTTTTTAATCATTTAAACTGTGTTTCATTTGATCGCTATATAGAACTTATCAGGTAATTTTTATAATATTTATAAAATAAATTTTGTAACATTATTTTGCAAATCCAATGTTTAATACAATAATTAGTGTAAATAGTTTGAAGTATTTTTATAGATTTTTAAAATAACACAAGTTAACTTTGTTGATTACTATAATTGCTATAATTTTATTAAAATTATATATATTACAATATATTATATATTACAATATTTATATTATTATTTTATTAAATGTATAATATATTAATTTTATGGAAATGTTTAATATAATAATTACATAAAGATGATACGCGATGATTAAACAAAGAAAAAAGTAAATAATCCTTTTTAAGCTTACAATCGCAATAATTATATAATTTACATATTATATAAAACGTATCATGATAGAGAAACAATTTTGATAAAAAACAGAAAATGATTTTTCAAAGTAATTCTTTATTTACGACAATTGTTTAATGAAATAGCTCTGGTTTGTTACAAATACAATACTTTGTATCAACATTGCAATACCAAAAAAAGTGTTATAATATTTATTGATTTAAAGTATTTAAAAAACCGAAATAGATTATAAATGGACATTATGATTATGCTTTAGACAAATATTTTTAAATACGCTTAAACAATTTTTTTTTTCAGTATATAATAAATAAAATTATTATACATGTTATAAACAACTTATTATTAATGTTTGACATAAAGATGAGGAATAAACTCTTTTATAATACTATTAATTATTATATAATTAATTACTGTTAAGATTTTGCAATAAACTCACGAAATTTTTATCTTCACAATAAATAAGAACAATTGTAAGCAATGCCGCGATTAAAAATTTTTTTTATTTGATTCACAAAAATACATAAACAAACAATTCTTTCCAATTACAATGACAACAAATTTATCATATTTTATAATTAAAAAAAATAATTAATAAAAAAATACGATTAATGCATTACATAATAATCCTTCTCTCATTCATCTCTTTCATTCTCTTTTTGTGTTAGGATGATCAAAAGTGATTGTCATTTTGGTCAAAAATCAAATATCTTTTTATAATTTTATCAAAAAGAAGTACTTTTTTTTCGGGAGTGATCAAGAATAAAAAAACAATAGACAAAAAAAGATTAACTTAATTAACCAATCAAGGAACATCAGGACGGTTAAAAAACGAGTTTATTATTATATTGGTATTATCTATATTTATTTTAATTGGTATACTAATTATTATGTGCATTATGAAAGAACTGGCGAACCTTATTATCTAATTACCGGGACCACCAGGAAAT